ACACGCCGCAGCTTTAATTAAACCCTGCACGCCACAGAGGGGGCGGGGCTTATAATTATATGAGCTTTAGCGGCGTGGAGTGTTTTCTTCTTCAGGAGCTTCAGCATCAACCAGGAATGTTGTTGTCTGTCTGAGTCCTGCTGCTCCAGAGCCGCTCAGCACAACGTCCAAACAACATTCCAACGTCGTCTACAACGTTCAACCAATGTTTAACCACTCAGCGCAACGCTCAAACATCTACAACGTTCTAACAATGTTCATATTTGAGCCAAATGATCAACTGATGTTTGTTTCTCAGAACGTTGTTGGAACGCTGTCGTGTTTCTACTTTTCTCAGAACGTTGTTGGAACGCTGTCGTGTTTCTACTTTTTTACGTGATGTTTTCTACTCGTGTCCAGCAGCATGTTTACTGAGTCTCTGCATGGGTCTGGATGTGTCTTCTGTCTGAATGTTGCTGGGCAGCATCTCTTCGTGCTCGCTCAGTGTTTTATATCACAGGATTCTGGGTAACGTGCATTTAAATTAAAACTCAGTAGAAAAGTTCAAACAAGTGTTTGTTTTGTTTTTATTCTAAATGTGTTTAATTCTGTTTCATCAGATTACAGGCGACACAGGAAGACATTCTGATCCTTTATGAACTCTTCCTGTGAGTCAGCATTAGATGAGACTTTACCCACAATTCATAGCAATGTGAGGTTAAACACGAGGTAACCAGAGGACGCATGGAGGATTAAACACGAGTCTGTTACGTCTCGTCTTGTGAATAAAGAACCTGAAGACGTTTAAATCGTCTAAAGTATAAAATGAATAAAGTGTTGATGTGTGATTCAGATCTTCCCATGACGCACTGCTCCAGGTAGTGTCTCGGACTAAAACAGGTGTCCTTGAAGGCACCACACGTCACATGACCTCTCTTCGCCTCTATTGGACGCTCGGCTCTCCTTCAGCGGGAAGATGGTCGTCATGGTAACAGCTGAACAAACAACCAATCAAAGGTCGGCTCTGTGGTTCACCTGTGTGTGTGTGAGACTGACTGTGTGTTGTGTGTGTATCTAGGTGTGTGACTGTTTCTCACATGAAAACGTTTTAAATCTTCAAACATTAAAGTGAGTGATGCTCATCGTCCGTCGCCAAAACCGTTTAAAATCACCTCCTCGGAGAATCTGGCAGAGAACGTTTCTCCTCTCAGAAACATCTGGAACACATGTTCTCCTCTTCTTCTTCTACTTCTTCTTCTACTGCCTCTTAGAGTGCAGGGACAAACACACTCACATCTCTATACTAGTGAGGACACTCCTTCACATCCACTGCTTTTGTAGTTTAGTCACATGACCTGAAAACTGAAAGATGATGTAACCATCAAGTTACACATCTATTAATAGAATAACACGGTAATAAACCTGCGTGTGTGCGTGAGTGACAGACAGCTTGTCAAATAGAGGAGGAAGAAGAAGAAGAGGCCGAAGCTGAAGCTGTTTCTTCCTCAGATATCTGTTAGTGATCAGAGTGATTGACAGGTTGGGTCTTCGCCTGTCAGGAGGAATTGTGGAGCAGAAATAAGTCCTTCTGAGTTCCTGCTTCATGGAGGACCTGCTTCATGGAGGACCTGCTTCATGGAGGACTGGATGACGTCACTTTGGCAGCTTCACTGATTTATTCCACGTTTCACAACTCATAAACAAGATAAATGTTGATCTGAGTGTCAATGAGCTCAAATGATGGGAATGTTCTCTTTGTGAGCAGATCTGGAGACACTTCATGTCCTCTCACCTCCCTGACCTCATTCTGAGGTCAAGAGACAATGTCCACCAACATCTCTCTGCTTTTTTTCCTCTGTTTTGCGTTGTTTTGTAGTTATTCTGCGTCTCTTTGTGGTTGTTTTGCATGTCTTTGTACTTGTCCTGCGTCTCTTTGCGTCT